TATTATTTATATATTTATAATTATATATAATATTTATAGAAATCAATATTTACATTATAGGACGAGTATATCTATCCTTTTTTTTAAATTTTCTTTCACCTATCATTTCGGGGAGCAAAAATCGATAATACACACATTGTTACTTATTCTATTTTATACTTATATGTAATGTTTTCTACATAATTTTGTACACGCTGCCCCTGTACTTTGTGAATATCAATAATTAAAAATCACGCTACCAATCCATCGTTGCACTAATTTTTAGCGAGCCTTTTTAAAAGAGAAGCCATTTTTTAAATACTTTAGTTAAAGTACATCGACACTTAGCTAATTGCTCTTTATTTTACATGAATTTCTTTTACAATATGTACGTTATACAAGACAAACAGGTATAGTGAGATCAGAGAAATTGCAAGTTCCAAGTTGTTTTGTAAAACCCAAGCATGAATGTATTATAACACGCTTTATCCATCTCGTTGCAAGTTTGATAATAAAAATAAGTCATGTGGACGCGAAAAATCAAAAAATCGTTGATTGGCACCTTCAAAAATAAACCTTATTTTCTCCAGTACATTCGAAGAAAAAAGGAAACGTAAGTTTTCACAAGGATGAGAGAAATTGCATTCTTTTTTTTTTCGGACGGCTAAGAAATCATTTGCGTGAATTTATGTTATGAAACATGGTGAAAGGGAGGAGGAGGGAAACATAACTTACAAGAGTTTGAGGCAGTGTTTGTTTTTTTTTTTATTTAATGTTGTAGTAAGGTGACTGATTTTTCACGTGAAATTCACTACTATATTTGCACACTATGTCAGTCCGCGATTGTTTTATTCTAATCAAAAAAAATTGTAAAACAAACGAAAGAAATTAACAATCAATATACATACGTACAAGCATTGCCACCTTGTAATTGCACAGTAATTTTTAAATACTTCGGTCAAATCTTCCCTCCCCCTTGTACTGACAAAAAATTTTTCTCACCCCGTTATTCATTCTCTTCTATTTATGCCACGTAACTACATGCAATACGAAAATCCATAACACTCACTTGAGTCCTTTTTTCTTACAATATTAATTGTACAGATAACAGTATATTGGATACAGGCACGATATCAAATTATTTACAAGCCAATGTATCGTTCCAAAGATTTGTTTTCAATAGCTTGCGTCACGTCTCTTCAATGTTTATTTTTTATTTATTATTTTTTTTTTATCACATAGGTACACTAATGTACCAAACAAAAAACGGAGTTCCATCTCCTTTTGTATTTCCTACTTTTCCCAAGTTAGGAGAATTACAAGAATTATTAACTCGAGTATCACAAAACCCTCCTTTCTGAAGTATACGACCATAAACTTTGATCATTTGTTTTTATCATCTTGGCTCTAATGCACCCAGAAATCACTTAATTACGTACCCTCGCTTTTTTCGACTTTGATTTTCTGTTTAGTCTCATTGACGTTAGTTTTTTCACCCTGTTTTTTTACAAGAGTCTCTTCCTTGACAGTATCGAGAGCCGTCAGTGAATCCTTGACAGCGTGATAAATAATGTTTTTAATCTGCAGTTTGTCTTCATGATTTGTGTGGGTATCCGACAGCGTACGGAATTCTTGCGTGAGATGAAAGCAATGAGAAATGTTTTCGGGAGAGACAAAGTCCTCTGCTACCTTGATGCAGTTGTGCAGATTGCGCACTTGATGTGGAGCACCAGCGGGCACGAATACCGCATCACCCAAGCACTGCACTATCGCGTACCTGTGAAAGAAAAAAGGTTTAAATGATCCCATTCATTCATTTCTATTGACCTTAATCAATAAAAAATCAACATACCCTACGACGCCGTATTCACGATACAGACGCTCACGGAGTGGACCATCCAGGTAGAAGCTCTGATCATGGATAGGATCGTGGTGGGGTTCCAGTCTAGCGCCGCGTTCAAGTGCCACGGCATTGAGCATATCGCGGATCTTATCAGCGTCACGTGCGGCATAAATATGCCAAAGCGCACCAGGAACCTCATCCTTTTCACGCACTCGACGACGCGTTAGGATATCACAGCCTGCTTCGTCAATAGCTTTCAAGGCTTCTGTAAAATGTCAAACAATTAGCGTTATGTAGAAATAAATACTTGATACTTGAATCACAAACAAGTAAAAAACTCACCCTTTATCTGTTCATCTTTGTCACTGTCTTTGGAAATCCCCGCGTAGACCATAACATTGACCGCGTCCGAGATGTCGAGATGTAAATTAGTTGTGCCTTTGTCGGGATAGAGTGCAGAACCATAGGCGTTATACATTTTGGGTCCGAGATCAGGTCTTGTGAACATGTCTGGTAATCTACTTGCGAGATTAAGCCTTCCATATCTGTGCGTGTACTCTGACAGCGGCACGCACTTCATAAGGTCAGCAAATCTGGTGGGTAGAATATCGGCAAAGTCACCTCGAGACGGCCAGTCTTTGAGCTTCAATAGCATGGCGTTGCCCTGTTCGTCTTTGAGTCGTTTCAAGGAGTGTTCAAAACCCTCCCAGAACTTCCACATAGGCTGTTTAGGAACGGTATTACCCGTCATGCAATTGATGAGATCATTCTTCTGATCGCCAAAATCTTTGGAAAAGCTGTCGGGATGCCAAAGATCGTTGTTTAAATACTTGTGCACATCAGAAACTATGACGGGCTGGCCGCGTTTCCATTGATCTTGGAATATCCTATAATTCTTAGGGTTGGTAGGATCCTGAAGTCGGAGAAGTTTTCCATCGCACAGCCACGAGTGCGGCACATCAGGATACAGTAGTTTGCTTTCAGTCAGAGTCATTATCCTCACAGGCAGAGGCTCACGACCTCGCTGAGAACACTTGTAACGGCGGACAAAATGTTTGAGTTCGGGTGTTTTCTCGTCATCGATGCCGCTGCCTTCCTCCTTCTGAGAAATAAATTGAAGGTTTATAAATTACGTTTCAATCTGTTTATAGTACGTGAATGCTTTTGTAACTTTACCTTAACACTGTGCTCAATGACACTGCTGATTACTTCATTAAGTGTGTCTATTTTGGACTTTTTACCAGTTTTGACGTTGTTTTGACTATTGGGTATTAAATTGTTTGTGGCCTTATTTGCACTACTATTACTGGCAATCGTATTATCATCAGAGGAGTGTGGATCAACGTTCTTGGGTGAATCAGGATTCGAATTACTGCCATTGGGTTTTTGTGAGGGTCGGATCAATAGCTCTCGTAAAGTCGAGTGGTTACCATCCTGATCAGAGTCTGAGTCGCTATCACTATCGTTTTTGTCCTGGTTCTGTAGTGCCACATCAGCTAGCCAATTCAGCGGCGAGTTCTTGTCTTCTCCATTTGCTCGGCTTCCGCTTTCACTCGAGTTGCTGTTACCGCTATCCCTTTTTCGTTGCTTCTCTGGCTGTAATGAAAATTTGAAATTACAAAAATGTTTTTTTTATGATAGTTTACGACAAAACTATTGGACAAGTTTAATTATTGTTCAGTGTTAAAAAGCTCATTGAAACTATCATAGTTTTTTTCAAGCAAATCATAATTTCATCATATAAAAAGTTATTTTGACAAATCATAAAAATACGCAAGTATGTGTTCGATACCAACCTTAATTTCCAATTGTGCGTTTCCGTTTACGACATAGACAAGATCACCTTTAATTAAGTTGCGGAGATTTTCATTTATAGGTTTGGGTGTTGCATCGCAACTGCAAAGTTTAGGAATTCCCCACTCGCTCCTACATTCGTGTAGTCGCTGATCTATCTGAACGAGACAATCTGCCGGAATAATCTGGGTAAGTAACAGCTGTTCTGGCACATGGGTTTGACGATTTGCGCACAGCAGCCAAGCATACTTGTCTCGTCCTTTGCTGCTTTCAGTCCAAACCGTGTTCTTGTTCTTACGAGCCTAAAAATTAATGAAAAATAAGTCCACGACCAATACTCGACAAAAAAATTAATATTTCTTATTGCTACGTCAGTGTTAAAAAGCTCGATATATTGTTTGTCTTTCATCTTTATCAAATAGTAAATTTACATCATTTTGAAAGATACTTAAACATTTTTTTTGTATTCAAAGAAAATTATATCAACTTACTTCATAGCAATCGATGCATACGCTAAAACCGCACTTGCCACAGGTCCAATGATAATTAAATAATGTTGTTTCACAGAGGTCACACATTTCCCGCACACCTTTCACGACTCTCTTCCAGATTAATGCTCGATCGACAAGGCCTGCATTTGCTGATAGATAAAAAATAAGTTCATTACTTTTCAAACAAAATAAATAGTTGTGGGTATATTTGGCAAAATCTAAAACATCGTGTTGACAGCACGATTGCTTTTTTTTTAATCATACCAAAGGGTGACAAAATATTTTTAAAATACAAAATTTATTAAATAAAAGAAGTTAAAAATTTCATACCTCTTGATATATGTTCTTCGATCACGCGTTTTTCCTGATGTATCAAATCACAAAACTGATCGCCTACTTGTCGGATTATTTGATAAGCTAATTCGATATCGAAGTCACCTTTATCCCACTCCTTTTTGCCATCCTGTGTTTCTTCCGTATATTTATCCCGCTTAATGAGTCTGTTGTCTATTCCCGGTAACCAAAGCTGTCTATCACTCTGTAATTAATTTTAAAAAAATCAATTTTTTTTTCTTTAACATTATTAATAAAAAATTAAGGTTATTCCACTTACTTCATCAGCATCTATGAAAGGATCATTAAAGCCCGCAAAAATTAGGGTTCCAGATTTAGTATATTGCATTCTTCGAAAAGCGTAAAATCGACAAAAAACGACGGAACTCTGAGATTTTTTTTCTATTTTGTCTCGTTGGTTTTGGGTTAATCTGCATTCACGGCACTTGGATAATCGTGTACATGGATAGTCGTTACACACTTCACCTTGAACCCAGCTTTGTCCGGATTTTAATAGTTTTTCTTGATCAGGCTTGTCTTCTATTGTACTTATTCGACTGTTTTTTTTCTTTTTATTTTTATTGCTACTATCACTGGACTTCTCTACTCGCTTTTTTTTTTGACGAGGTTGGTAGTCTTCTTCTTCTTCTTCTTCTTCTTCCTCTTTGATTTTAATATCTTTTGTGCTCCTTGGTTTTCGTCCTCGTTTTTTGGGGACTTTTTTATTACCTGCAAAAAAAAAGTTTATAAATAAAGCTGGAAATTTAAACCTTGTTTGCGAAATAAATATAGGAACAAAAAAGTTTTTTTGGACTATAGTTCTATTATTTATTTTATTCACATAATAAGCGAATTCAACAATTTAAAATAGTTTTGTAAGCAAATAAATCTTCAAGGCTGCATGCATTGAATTTAGTTGTTTCAACAAGCTATGCGTGAATGAATTTTTTTTAGCGCTGGAAAAAACGTAACTTTATTCTTGAAAGGTAATGTGATTTCTTAAAGTATAAGCATCTAGCTTTCCAACCCAAGAGATTTTTTCATTTGTGTTACATTGCTAATATTCACGTGTTAGCAATGAGCAAAAGTTGTTAAAGGAGTTAGTATCATTTTTTAATTTTAGTTACATGTGTATAACAATAGTAGATAGAAAATGAGAAGCGAGAAAATTTTCTTCGTACTAAGTTCTCCTAGAGATTTTCTTTCATTCCCTTAAACACAAGCACACAATTTAAGTTGAACCATCGCGGAAATGTTTTCATTTCTTGACTTCGTTATTATTAATTGTACTGGAGCTATTTGTAATAAATGACAAGGCATAATCAAGTGAACTTTGTCTGCTAAACAAGACGTACAAGTGAAAAAGTAATGTTTGGCTACTCAGTTGTTTGTTATCTACGACTAACCATTTCCCGAGGATGCTTTGTAGGAATCAATTGTCGTGGATATTTGCATGATTGCTCGAGCGGGAAATCTCTGTTCACTGGAGTCGCTCACTGATCCAGCTTCGCTCTCGTTGCTGGACTCGCTACCAGCAGCTGCACCTCCTCTACTTTGCTTCTTTTTCTGACGGCGACGCTGTTCCTGCACGGCTGTTTGCTGTTTCCAAGCGGCTCCCTTCTTTCGCTTTACCTACCACACAGACATAGATTATTTTTTAGTACTTTTTTGCCACTTCAAGCCAATTTCTCCACTTTTTCTTCATTACTGTATATTTTATTTTTTATTTTTCAACTTATTTTTTCGAGCTCACTGTTAGCACACGTGTATAATTTCTGCCCAATTCATGTCCTATTGAATAGACCTACGTGTATGTCTATATGCATTGTTATCAGTATTTTACTACTGTAATTACCTACACGACAGGCGGTTGGATTAATTTTTTAATTCTCCTATCTATAGCTATTTGGTAAAGTAGATAAAAACTAAACGGTGTTATCAGTCTTAATAACAGTTAATGACGGACAGTTACTTCATATTTTGTCTATATTCATCAGTAATACGAGATAACGGCAGTCAGTTTGTGGAATTAGTGCATTAATGTTACTCCTCCCCCCCCACTCGTAAACTAACTTGAAATTAACATTTGTAGTATTCGTGTACTACTATAAATATATGTACTACATCATGTGTAATACGTATAGGTAGAAAAACAATAGATTCAAGAAGTACGAACATTCGATCGACCGATTAAATCATAATAAGGTAAGCTCTAAAATAAATTTAATAAGCATGTAATTTAATTTCAAAATAATAGGCATAATAAGTAATACGTTGTAGCGTTTAAGTATACAAATTGAGAGATAATGAGCGAGTACAAACAAGTTCGAGGTTAGGAACAATTGATAAATACGTATATAGGTAAATAAAGCATTTTCTCCGTCTCTATTTATGTAGAGTGATTACATGATGCAACTAAATAAAAAAATTAACCTACCAAGTGGGCAACGAAATTGTTTTCCTCCATAACCACGTTTTCATCCGCCATTATAGCTCCGAACGCACCAGAGGTTATCCCGAGCCACGAGAGAGGCAACACAAACGAGAAATATAAAAGATTTGTAGCGCTCGGAGTCTCGGACTCGACTACTCATATGCATCAAGTATGAGTACATTCATCACGAAACAGTCACGTAAAGGAAAGAGCTGGTACACACAACAGCATCGGCATGTTTCGACTAGATCCTTGCCTCATTCTTTCTCTGCATATTTGTATAGGTATATACCCAAGGTGACTTGCTTGTAAAGACAGAAAGTTTAAGGTTCGGAGACGTCTACGAGACTAGCAACACGCTAGCAATGGCGCGCGGCCATCCCCTCGGTCCCCTCGCGCGCATACCGCCCCGCTGCCCCTATAAGGGCTATAAGTATATATTTTGTACATATATACATATTGTAGGTACAGTTTGACCGCACCGTCGTGCGGTGCTAACGTGCTCTTACAATACCCTTTAATGGAAAAGAATGCACACGCGGTAAAAATACGAAAGAAGAGTTTACTCTTTGTCTTGCTTTGTTAGTTCCATTGGCCTTGGACCATTGAAATTATACAACAAAATAATCGTGATTCCAGAATGCCCAACGCACACTCACTTACGCTTTACATTTGGGTATGTATTTTAGTCCCCTCAAGTTCATGGCCCATAATATTTAAATCAGAGATGCCTCGTTTCGGTCCTACAACTACAGCTACCGTATTGCATAAACTGAGGATCGAAGATCGAGCTTTAGGGTGAGATTACATGGAGTCTGGCAGTCTGCAGACTGGCAGAATTACGCTAAGTTTAAATTATGTTTAAATTATAACATCTCAGAATAATTTAGTAAAATAAAGAAAAAATTGTAATTATTGTCATAACCGAATAAAGGCTTAGTTACAATCAATTTCATTTACAATAAAACGTGTCAAATATTATTTTATAACTTTTTTTATAGATTTATGTTAACATCACACAGACGGTCAGTAGGGTCACTGATGTAACCTGGTATGTATAACAATATGTAACTGTGACAAAACGTTTTTCGTCACCTTTTTTTTCATAAATATTAGTTAATACAGAAATGCAAATGTATTACGATAATTATTTCTTTGCTTACGTAACAGGTTTTAAATATTAATATTGAAACATTTTTAAACTTAGCGCAATTCTGCCAGTCTGCAGACTGCCAGACTCCATGTAATCTCACCCTTACTTTGGTATATAAATTCTCGATAAGTATAACCACATAGCCGAAATTCAAATCCAAGTTCCTTTCAGCCGAGACTTAAGAACTTAAGAATCTCATTTTGTATTACTTATTGAGAGAGCGCCTGATGCATATGAAATTATTCTTATTAGCTGAATGACTAACGTGTTTCGCCAATCACCCGTTAAATACAGGGGCGCTATACTGGCTTTGTTCGGAAATGATACGTTGGTTAAGTTTTTGGTTGGTACCTACCCCCACCCCGACCAAGTGCGTCCAGAGCGCGAAACTTTGAACACTGTATCCTTAGCTTGCTTCTACCTTGTACTATGGTTAATTGTATTCCATATTTTTTATCAGCAGGAAAAAATTTATGTTCTGTATGCAGTTGTGTGAGTTTATACAAGACTTTTTTCTAACAATGTTACGTGCTCGACTGTCAAAAATTTTTAATAAGATTGTCATTCTTTTATGACTAATCTCTTCATTCACGAATACCACTACATTAAATTTATTGAAACGAATACATGTTTAATGTTGCAGTTAAAATGCAAAGCACTGATACAGGTAAGTGGTCAAGTGCCCAACTGCTCATTGGCATCAATTTGAGTCACGAGATAATCTTAAAACTTTAATTCAATTAATGCAGTACGTACGTAGTATTTTGTTTTTTCAACTTACATTTTAGAATTTAGCATACTCCATTTTAAACACCAATAGTTTTGTATTTATGAATTAAGAACAATGCATTCAGTAATTATAATCAAGTATGTGTGCGTTGCATTCTCAATGGCATTCAACATACTAGTAACCAAATGATTCATAATGACATATTATCTACCACAATACCTTATAAATCTTAACCCTTTATTTTTTATCACTTACTGCAGTTCTTCAATACTTTTTTATTTCATAAATTTCAATGGGATGTGCACTATTCACGATTGAAAGTGAAAATTGTTTATTTCTATATGATCACAAAAATATAACTGTAACGACGTATAATTCACCGGGATGTATTTAATAGCAGTTTGTAGTCGTTAATTTATTTACCAACAGTACTACTAAATAAAAAAGTATCAAAGCATAGAAATGGTCATCAACATGACATAATGTACTACGAAAACAAACACATTCATCGTTTTAACCAAAATTTCAATATCTTTTTTTCCCCACCAACTATAAAGCTTACATTCACTCTCGTATAATTTTGAAACCAACATTCCACTTTTATTCTAAGTTACGATTAAAACTATTGTTCATTGAAATGAAAACAATATGCTGTTCCGCATCAAGTTCATACTCAACATCATTTTAATTTGCAATTTCAAAAAAACGAAAAAATCTCTAGGATACACAGTTTTTGCTCTGATAACACTGATGCATGTACAAAAAAAAAGTAGAACAGAAAGAGAACAAAAAATTACCACTATAAAGATAAGTACTGTATGTATGCTTGTTAAATACAGAAGATGAACACTTTGCATTTTGTATAGAACAAGCTGTGCAAGTAGTTGTAACAGTAAATATTAGTAGAACACAAAAAATGAAAGGCTTCTTTTGCTTTTAAAAAATCAGCTAGAAAGTAGTTGAAACATTTTTTAAATTAAAAGATTTATTTACTTAATTCATTATCAAATGGATTACGGTTCATCAGTATATCTATGACTAGGCCGTGTTCCACGGGTTCAATGAATCTTTGAGGCACCGCAATAATAGGCGATTAAAATCTCTTTCAACAATAAAACGTGTGTACAATAATATGAATAAGTACAAATGGAAATACTTCAAAAGGTCAATAAAAAAAATTAAATTGACAAGAATTTTTTTCATGTAGATCTAATTGAAATTATATTTGAATATCGGGCTCTTTTAAGTCAGTTGATTATTTAATTAGCTTAAAGTAAGTACTGGAAAGTAATAATATAGCAAAGATTAGAAACAATTGACAAACAAAAAAGGTTGAAGTCCAGTTTAACTGACACTATACTAAAATATTTTGTTTTTCATGATTGTAGAGAAAAAAAAGTAGCAAGTGCATATTTGTAAACTTACTTTATTTTTATCGAATTCAACACTTATTTCTAGAAAATGATATTTACAAAAAGAACTTAAAATGTAAAATAGTTGAATAAAAACGAAATCCATTGATAATTTAAACATGAATTCTATGCTTGAGTTTGTGGTACCTGGACTAGTGACTGTCCGGTTCACTTCATTTCTGCATGCAGTGGTGTAATGTATAAGCAGAATACGAAAAACAGCAGAAGAACGGAAAAAAAAGAAATCGAAAAAAAAAAAAAAACTCTGAAGAGGTCATCCAGGTCATGGGTTGCGAAAATCTCATACCTTGGGTTGCTTTCGCTTTGGCGGCGCCTTCCTTTCGGGCTCGCTGTTTGAGGACTCTTCGTGGAGGCTCTCAGAGTTGGGAGCCGGGACGGTAGCAGCAGCAGCAGCAGCAGTAGTAGGAGCAGAAGCAGCAGCAATCGCGTGTCCGTTAACCGATTCTTTCACAGGCGTTTTGCGTTGCTTGATTGGCACCTTTGGTTTGCTGATACTGTTCACAGCCATACTGCCGACATTGTGGATTGAATTGACAGCGCTGGGTAAGCTCGTGGTCGACGTCGTCGTATTTGTCGTCGATGACGACGTTGAAGATACGCTCACGTTTGTCGCTACTGTAGTGGAGTTTACGCTGTTGCTGTTATTGTCTTTACCTGTATATGACATAGTTGAAGAAAAAAATATGTATATCATTAGCATATTCGTCCCTATGGGGTTCGAAAAGCTTTTGACTGATAAAATTTTTTCTTACCAGTACTGCCATTGGCCTGTTTGTTAACGGCGATATTAAGGGGTAGGGTGACGCAGGAGCCGCTGCCAACGACGCCAACGGTATCCTCGGCACCGTCTTCGCCCGAGTGCCGCTGAAGCCATGCTTTTTTGAGCTTGTGCACAGGGTAGCTGGTGGTGCTGGGCGGTCGCACTGGGGCTGGACTGTCAGGCTTGGCCGGAGTGCCGGGAGCGCTAGGCGCAGGACTCGGAGCCGTAGATGACGGGACTGGCGAGGCCGAGGCGCTTGTCGTCAGTGTCGCCGGATTCGTCGCACATGGAAGCGAACTCACGCTACCGGTCGACGAAGGCCGCACGGTGCCATCACCGCTGGCCGTTCGGGGCGCTGGACTTATGGAAGAAGGAACATTCACCTGGCTTTGGCTATTGGGCTGTGTCAGCAGGGCAGTGTTGACGAAGCTGGTGATTGAAGTCGCCGCCGAGGCGATCAACGGACTGGGCTCACCGACTCTCGACAGCACCAGCGGACTGGCCGCGTCAGGAGCCCGTGTCGTCATCGTTGGCGTTGTTAATGCCGTCATCGTCATCGACGTCGCTGTTGTCATTGTCGTCATAGTCGTCGTCGTCATCGGCGTTGTTGTCGACGTAATAGTTATCGATGGCGTCGTCATTGTTACCGATACATTCTGTGGCTGTGACTGTAGCTGTGGTTGTGGTTGCGGTTGTGGTTGCGGTTGCGACTGTGGCTGTGTTTTCTCCTCTAACCTACGCTTTTTGGCTTCCAGGGATATGGGCTCGCTGCCCTGAGGCGTGCTAGATTTGCGTTTTGGCGAACTAGATCTCTCTACGCCGAGATCCAGTGGCTGCGTCTGAAAGTTGCTATTATTGTTGCTGTTGTGATTGTTGGCACTGCTACCGGTCTGACCAAGCGGCGAATGGCTCTGTGGATGATGGACAACCGGATGAACCAAACCTGGTGGCAGCCTAGAAATCGGGGTGAGAGCACTAGCCGGTGGCAGTAGATGCATCGGAGCAGGCAATTTTCTACAAAAAAAAAAAAAAAAAATGAAGAAATCGTTAGTAAATATATTGGATGATCGCAACATTGATGTAAAATAGGTTATCTGCTCGAATAAAACCACATCGTTTGCTTACCCTATGCTGGGAGCAGAGTGGAGCGTCGATGGCGGTGGCAGAGGCTTGGGTGTCCCGTAGCTCCTCGAGTCGTAGGGACTGCGACTCGAATGAGCAGGTGGTGGCGCCAAATGTGAAAAATGCGAACCCTGCGTTGAGCTCGAATGATGTATGGCCGGTTGCAGAGACGAGGACATAACGCTGCCGCTACTACTGCTCGTGCCACTGGCACTGGCTTTAGATGTCAGTGGAAGCGGTACCGAAGATGCCCCCGAAGGTGCACCGGGCGAAGACGACGAGGACGGACCCATAGTGTTCGTCGAGCCCGAGTCCGGAGCTCGACAGACTGGCGTTCCAGTCATTATACCCGAACTCGGCTTTCCATAGATATGTGATGGCGCCGGACTGCTTACCTACATAAATAAATTTGCTTTTGTTTATTTCGAAATTTCTAATCTTATTTTTTTCTTACTATATTATTACGTATTTCGCTTTCTTTCGGAAAATAACGTAGTATTAGTAATAATACCAAATAAAACTTAAATAAATTCAAATACTATTGAACGCACGCTAAGAGTACGCTTACCTTAGGCTTGGAAGCAGTAGCAGGCGCAGGGTAGTGCGAAGAGGACGTGGCGCTCGGCTGGTGCGAATGATGATGGGGATGCTGCAGGTAAGCCGAGAACGGGCTCTTCGATTGGTGTGGTGGGTACGCAAGTTGTGGCTCGGGCCTCGTGAGGTATCTTGGCTCAGGCGGCGATGGGTGCGGAACCTGCGAGACCGATTGAGGCGAGCGGGAAGGCCGATTGACCACTGCTGGATTCTGCAGCAGTCCGGGAGCAGAGAGGTGAGCACTACCGGGGCGATTGTGATGACTCGACACCTGTAGCTTCGAATCGTTGAGCTGTAGGTGGTGCTGCTGTTGCTGCTGCTGCTGCTGCTGCTGCTGCTGCTGCTGTTGGTGGTGGTGGTGGTGGTGGTGATGGTGAGCGTGCGGGCTCTGTGAGGGCGAGCGACACTCGTAAGGCGATTTGTGCTGAGAAGTTGGTATCTGCGAATAAAAAAAAAACATTGAATGCCACATACGGAGGTATTACTTTTTTTTCTGCAGTTTTTTTCCAACACAATATAAGGAGATAGGTATTTACCGTCACGGGTGAGACGTTCATGTAGGACATCATCTTGGGGCTAGGCGAGTGCGCGGGCGCGACAACAGACTGTTGCTTCTGGTCGCGGCTGCCCTCGTTTTTGACAATGACCGAGCTCTTGTGGTCGGATGCCGACGACGAGGACGACGAAGAAGACGAGGTCGACGACAGGTTGGTCGAAGCTGAGGCCACAGCCACCGATGGCGAGGGCGAGGAAAGGTGCGATGGCGGATTCGACAGCACCTCGACTCTACTAGCGTGGCCTCGACTCCTGCCTATCCCCACGACGTCAATGATGTCGACGACACTAGACTTGTCGTGCGACTGGCCGGCCATTGGCGTCGAAGACGAAGACGATGAGGACGGAGGAGGCTTGCCCGGCTTGTTGTCGTGCTGGACGTAGTTAGCGCCGCTCGGCTGGTAGCCTGAATAGCCAAACAAACTGATACTGGGCTCTGCCTTCAGAGTTGTCGGGTGTGCCTGATGGATCGACTGTTGCTGCTGCTGCTGCTGTGGCTTGTCGTGCCTGCTAGACACCGAGGGCGGTAGCGACGACGAAGACTTTGAACTACGCGCGTGGGCTGGCGGAGGGTAGTCCACCTTGCCTGGCACGCTCGACGGCCGTGAGACCTGTAACGATTGCAATCAACATTAGAAAATATCCTGGTATGGTGCATCTATCTTGTAGGGGTGACATTGTCCAGTCAGAGACTTCAACGCGTATAACCTGTACCTATACATGAACGGGGATGTGTATATGCACACTATGAAGGTACAGGACTTAACTGTTGTACTGTCACGTAACGGGATACCGTACTAAGCCACAAGGTTTTGGCTGACCCTATACATACTGCATATATATCGAGGTATTTTACGATTTAAGTACGTGTATAGACACCTACGAGTATACTTGCGCACATACATGTATATGAAAGATAAAACAACGAATGTTTGCTTTGATGATAATTGCTACGCGAAAAAAAAAAACTCAAACCGCTGTTAGCACGTCTGCAAGTCTAGACCGAATAAACGTATAGGTAATAACTAAACCGGATTGTATGAATTTATTCCCTAATCGGTAGGTTACGCGTATATGACGATGGCATTGAAATGAGAGAGCGAGAATGAAATACCAAATGTGTGCCTGTACCGTTGCCTACTTTTAAAATCTCATTTAACAAACATCTAAAAATTATAATTAGGTACAAGTACTAACTCACCTATACGTGGATGGATAAAGTTGTGTATATAGTTATATATTTGTAGCAAGTTCATCAACAAACCTGAACTGCGGGCTGGGGAACAGCAGCCGCGCGGAGGTAGGCGATACTCTGCTGGGCGGCGTACTCGCTTGCCTCCTGCTGCTCGCGATGGGCAGCCAACTGGTGCTCCCTTTCCTCCCGGTCACGCTGTTCTCGCTCCCTTTCTCGATCACGCTGCTGCTGCTGCTGCTGGGATACCCCCACCAAAGCGTGCTGCTGGGACTGTTGTTGCTGCTGCTGCTGAGTCGCGCCCGGGTGATGGTGGTGCGTGGCGTGCGATCGTCCAGTTGAGTGTGGCGGCGCCAAAGGTATGAAGCTCTGCCAGGGTATCACGTTCCTCTGCACAAACGAATAAGGCATCTACTTCAATCTACGTTGCTCGCTTATTTCACCATTCATATATTTTCAACTATTGTCTTCTTACGACAGAGCAAACCAAACATTTTTTACAATGGCTACTTTTTTTTTTTTTTTTTTCAACTTAGTAAACCCTACGAATTGTTCAATATTTTTTGAAAAATTGTTCCGATTTTTTTTTTTTTTTTTACCGTTGTAACGAGACTCTTGGGTTTAGTCTTATGTGTGGACGCTTCGAAGAAAAATGTTTTTAAAATTACCCATAAAAGGCGTGTGACATTTAATTTCCAAAATTATCGCGAAAGCTGCACCGATAATGAACGGCAAATGCCTCTGTATATGTTATTTTGTAGTAAAAATGTAAGTCAACAGTGTGCTTATCAACACGGGAATCAATTCAATAACAAGTAAAATGCTGGATCTGACTGTATGGCAACTTTCTCGCTTTCATATTCAGTTAGGGTATGAGTTATTGGATTTTGAGTCTTTTTTGAAGAAGAACAAAAAAATATAGAGTGTTAACAGTCAAGTATGCCAGAAAACAGTTTACCACGTATTTCCAATTAAAAAGCAATAATAGAAAAAAAATACCAAAAAAATTCATTAAGACCGACAGGTATAGATTACGTAAAAATTTGTTCCATTAACGAAGTGATGTCCTAAGGGTATGACATGCCTTTTGAACGTAATAGTTTTACTACGAAGTGACGTGACTCCAAACTTTGACGAGCTGTACCCTGGTAAATTATTATTTTCGTGAAAAAAAAAGTACGAGTCTCATTATTTTCGGATAATCCACCTGACCGACCTAGGGGAAGTCAATTATTTTTTTGTTTTTTTTTTCCTATAGTAAAATTTAAAAAAATAATGAATATGTACATACTCGGCTTCCAAGGTCACATTAACACGCATTATACGGTAGTTGAACATTTTCATGTACAGTTTACCTGTACTGGAATAATTATTATACGTACCCGAATTTATATATCCTACTGTACTGACGTGTATCCTGCGTGCATGGGAACGAAAGTCGCGAAGATAAAAACCGAAGCGAGCATGCGAGCAGCCGGTTTTTTTTTTTTTTTTTTTTTTATAAGTATACTTGATTCTCCGGACACCGTTAACACGACTATAACGTTGGCATACTTGCACCCGTACTATACCGCTTTGTTACGTATACCTATTAGGTTAATTGCTGCGCACGGCACTCATTTTTCACATCACCTGTTTCCGTCTTTGTTTCTTTTATTGATTTTTTTTTCTTCTTTGCTCGCGATAAAATCCATCCACCTTTGTTACTTTCATTGTATGTTTGTATAAAACTGTGCAGTGACTTACTTATTTTCGATGGGGAGGAAAAAATTTGATGCATCTAGAGCACGAGACTAAAATAAACTTTATAACAACAAAAAAGTAGTTTATCAGCCCTGAAAAGCGAATTCTTTTTTTTTCCAAAAATGTGGTGCATTAAGTAGTTATTGCAGGAAATTTTGTTTCCTTTACATTGTTATTTTATGAGGCAACACTCAAACAAATGTTTCCCAAACAAAACGTTAGTGCTGTGTTCTTAGAGAACGAAGATTATTACAGAGTATTTAAACAACAATTTCAATACTATTTTTCAACACTGTGACAATTTTTTCTCTCTCAAGATATAATGTATCATTTCGCTGATAAAAATGTTATTGAATGTCTGCTGCGTTATGAGTAATAATAATAAAAAATGTCTAAATTTAAGTGTTTAAAATAGTGTCGATACCCAAGTCTGACTGGATGAAAAATTTTGGTAATCAATAGCGCTACCAAGCGTATAAAAAGTATTCAGCAAAAAAAAAATAAATAAAATAAAAAAACAACTACTTTTAGTTTAAAGAATTAGTAGCGATGAAAACAACAATAGCGGTAAGTAATAGAAAGAAAAAGAAAACGAGGCGGTTTCTTTTGCCTTGCAACATCAATAACGAGGCAGGATGCACATGTACCGTACACATGCGTACAGTATATAATAATATACCCACACGTCAAAATAAAATAAATGCGGCGCGTGTATATATGTGAGCAACGCGGGCAGCTGATACGTTCCACTATGTATTTATTCACCCTTGCGTGCACAAGGCACGCGTAACTTGTTTTTCCTTTTATCGCACGCGCTTTTTGCACCAAAAAAAAAAAAAAAAAACATGTGTTGCACCGAGGACAGTTTAAAAAATTACAGTCGACCATTACTACATTTATGTTGAGGTAAAAAGCCACCTGCGTTCAATGTAGTTACTTTACAACGAAAAATTAAAATTTTGACAGTTACCATTAGTAAAAAAAAAAAAAAAAAAACACTGAACAGTAAGTTTAATGGTTATTTTTACCAATTGAAACTGCAAAATATTCGACTGTTAAGAGTAAAGTCACTAATGTAATACAGGTTGCTTTTTCACCTTGATTCCAGCTCGTAAAGCTCAACTGAAACTTTTCACAGTGTATCATCTGTCAAGGTTTCGCGTGTACGTATACGTATACACACATGCATAGGTACAGAGGGGATGAAAGGGGATAGGGTGGACAGGTTTTGTAAGTGTACCTATAACACACGCGTTACTTACTTATTCTAGCGTGAACAAAAAAAGAGAGACAGGTGCTGGAATGTGCATCGATTTCACTTCTGGGTTGAGCTCCGAAAAAAAAAGATCTCACTTGCCCCTCGCTCTTTTTCTATTGCCCCTACGTTATAACCGGTTTTTTTTTTTTTTTTTTTTTTTTTTTTTTTTTTTTGTGATCCACACGAAGAGGACCAAGATGAATACAATACCAACACCTATTCTCGTTTTGCGTTCATTTTTATTCAAATTGATTTCACGACAACTTTTTTTTCGTTGCGTGTTCGTTCCGTGCACGAGTCGTCGAAAGGGAGGACTGGGTGTCACTTTTAACACGTACTCTTATGTGTAAAAAAAAAGAGGGAGATGGTATGTAAGATTCAATGTGAAAAATGTAAATTAAATAATGACAGGACCACACCTTCATTAAATTATGTTTGCAATGATTTAAGTTGTAAGTAAAAATGTATGAATAAACGCCACCTGTGTTGCTCGCATCGGCAAATAAAGTGTGGACACGTGAAGCAAGTAACTTACCTTTTGACTGGCCTGCCTCAGGGACTCCTCAAAGTGCCTCTGCACCGCCTGATCGACCGCCCTCTGTTTCTCGAGCTTCTCGCGTTCGAGCTTGGCCTCGCGCTCCCGCGTTTCCTGCAGCTGCTGAATGTCCCGTAATTCCGCGTCCCGGCGCTCCCTGAAACAAAATTACGGCCACGGTCACACACTTTGTAATTATTTCATTTTTTCTTTTTTTACCATTATTTTTTCCAAGTCATATCTAAGCACACGAAATACATTTCCTTCGTTTATTACATATGTAACTAAGCTTTGTGGAAAAAAAAAAATATGCACAGCACTTCCATATCTTAAAACTAAATAGATCAGCTCAAATTACGTAGAAAATGAGATACATTGAAAAAAGTATAATCGCGTTAAGCAGTATCGATGAGACTTGAAGCCACCCTGACAGTAAAAATCGCACCTTCGACGAATTAATTCGAGGCAAATTTTTATCGATAATCGCCCATGAATCTGCCGTCACTTGGTTTTTTTCATCGACACCTACAACTCGTCCCGTACCGCACGTACGACGGACGGCGATCATCATTGGCAGACCTTGCGATTAACAACAAATGATTGATCGACCTGAAAACTTTATCAAATCTATCATCACATTATTTACTCGTGTAAATGCGTCCTAGCAGTTGTTTTGTCGGTGATGAGCTCGTATAATCGCTCATTTCCCTGCGATAGCAACACAGCGTTCGTTATGCGTCGAAAAAAAAGCTACATGTTGAGTACAACATTATATCAGTGCCGCACCGTAATGTAGACGGGAATAAAAAAAGCACCCGATGCGTTGTGTGCGTGACGTCACTTACGCATTATAAGTAAGTACCAGCACACGCGCGGGTTCAAGAGAGAGAACACCAAACCAAAGGTATACACCTGCACTGCTGCAAAATGATGATGGAAAAAAAAGTATAAAGAGTAGGGGGAGGGGGGAGGAGCAAGCGAGGTTATTCCGGGAGCACGTCGTGCCTTTTCAGCATTCAGAGTCAGACGGTATATCAAGAGATTGAGGCAGAGGGTTCGTTAACGCTTGTGCTAGTTGTGTGTGCGATATACATGTGTACCCTATACTTCAGTCCGCGCATAATAATATACGTATATATAAACACTCGACGCCGGCTCGTGTTCACGTAGCCTGCATAATGCGCGAGAGAAAGAAGAGATTCATTGAGCGTTAACTTTCTGTGCAGTGTGCCAGGCGCATTGTAGACACAGCGAGTGAGCGTGGTTTTCTCTTTTGACTTTTTTTTTCGAGCTTGGCATTTTTTTTTTTTTTTTTTTTTTCGAGCTTGGATTTCATGCGGTGGACGAGCTTTGCACGATGGGCTCCGAAACTAAAAGGGTTTGCGCTCTTTCCTCTATACTTTTTTCTTCATAGACATAAATATAGTTGTAATTGAAGGTACAGTATTTTGCGCCACTACGTCGCAATTTTCTTATTCATACAATGTCCAAAGGTTCATTTATTTTTGTCAAAGGAATTGCGTGTGAAATTAATTTTGAATAAAACGTGAAAAAACTCGCAAAAGAAGAATGTGTTGGAAAAAAGGTGCGAGAGTCACTTCACACCTTATTGAGAATATTTAATTGTAGAGCAAAATCAATTTGTTCAAGTAATTTTTTTTTAAAGGTATATGAGTAATGTCACAAAAAAATTATGTTGAGAATCTCCTAACCTTGAAAAAGTTTTCACACTTTTGCAGCTGTTTACAGTTTTTTAATGCGACTATCGTCGATCTTGGGGTAATTTTTTCTTTCTAATTGTAGCCTAAAAAAATTAAAAAATTTAAACGCTTGATTTCAAACCCACCTAAATTTTGAACATAAGCTTGAAATATCTTTTTTTTTTTTTTTTTAATTTCGAGGATTTTACTGTAGCTTTTTACGAAATTTAAAAATTAAATTAAAAACATCAAGCCCACATAGTGTGGCCTGTTTTTGATACGGAGAAAATTTTTATAAAGACCTATTCATGTTGTGTGTACGCAACTATTGAAAAGCATAACTGCGTAGAAAATCATTCAAAGAAAACTAGCTTTTATCGCGAGTATGAATGCTACACTTATAAATCCACACTTTTCGCTCGCAACGCACATATATACATACCAGAAAAACCGGTTCAAGTCACGCTAAAAAGCAACACCAACTCCAAATGTGTGCTTCGACACGATTCGTATACTTACACGCTGCTTCATGAGAAATGGAAGAGCGACAAAATGAAAGGATGTTAAGGTAAAAGGCAGAGCAGCATATGCACGTGTGTGTTTGGAATTGAAAAAAAAAAGACAAAGGAAAGAGGAAGAGCGCAAAAACGAAGCTTTTGTCGGGTATAATCGCAAGACTTTTTTGGCGTCTACGAGTACAAAAGTAGAGCCATCCGGTTTTCTGCGTGGCTGGATGATTTTTCAGAAATTCGCCATCTCCCTCTTATCCAAACTGACTCACCCTCTCTTTCTCTTCTCGTCACTATCGTGGTAAGTACGTAACATGCCAATTTTTTTTTTGCGTCAAATAAATCCACATACAGACATGTACATTAATAAGTGTCAATCCTTTTACTGGTTCAAAAACTCATGGAATATAATCATTATTTTAGAACCATAAGTGATTGATTGATTTTTTAAATCAGATTTCTTTATCAACAGAAGCAGAGTTTTCATATCTCAAGTTAAATGAAGGCCATTAAAATTGTTCTGACCCACAATCATAATTTTTTTTTTTTTTTTCTTTAATTATTCAATGTGCAACTTGACATTTAGTTTCATTAAACCAAAATTTTATTTGTATTTTAATTTGCCCAGTTTGTCCCACTTACTTTTTGTAATCATAAACATGACACCAAGAACATTGAGTCAGGATGTAAAAGTTTCTCATACATTCCCAAAATGGATTATATTTTCTTAAAGCCACTTAAACTTTTTGAACTTACTAATGTTTATTGAAACTAATTAAATCTGTCACTGTTTAAAACATTCTCCAGTTACTTTTGATCATTTATTTTTCAACTCTACTAGTACTAGAGCTTTAACTGTGTATTTAACTTGCACACTACACTACCAGCAAAGAGAGGAGTTTAAACCAATTAAAAGAACTAAGCTTGTTGTAAATGAACTTTATCGAATCATAAAACAACATTAAGATAAAAAAAACCACAGACGATGATTTAAATGTGATAAGATTACATCACCTGTCATTTTAGGGCTGGATATTTTTTTTAGGCAAGAGTAACATTTGAAAACTTTTTGCTCTGCTAAAAAAAAGTATAAGTATTGGAATACTGAGAGACAACTTTTCTATGGAAAAAAAAAAAAAAAAAAAAAAAAAAAAAAAATACAGTTGATTTAGAATGTTTTTTTGTTTTAAATTCTTTTACAATAAATATACACTTACGTGGGAGAAGGGTTCTGGTTAAAGAGAATGCGCCTTGCATTCGGATTGTCCACAATTTTACTGACTCGCGACTGAGCGAGTATACGACGAAAACTCCACCTACGCAAGAGCACAACCTCCGTATACGTCTACATAATGCAATACGTGTATTATACGCGTCAAAGCGTTTTCGGCAGATTGGCTGAGAAATACAAATGAACCGATCGCTCGTCTGCCACCACCACCACCACCACACTATCTCCCACTTTAAGTCTCTCTGACTTTCTCTTTGTTGCGTCGCAATCCTTCTACTATACCATACAATATCTATATCTTAGGTTGTCACCACTGTTATTCTCATCCCATCCGTTGTCGTATCACATCTATACATAATATATACCAACATCATGCATATATATAGTTGTACTTTCATGTCACACGAGCTGAGTCATTTAGGTGCTATATACTTTCAACAACACAACACGTATGCTGTTTCTCGTTTCAGTTCTCTCTTATCAACAGGCTCCTCTTTTATCGTTCTCCGTTATCTTTTTTCTTTATGTCGTGATCGCGCGGTCGGTATTCGCATTCTTCATTACGATATCTCAATGTTATTTTTTCATTGTTAAGTATACTTAATTTTCCCTCGTGCAAGCACACTTTTCAATTTAAATGATTTTTTCGTTTTTCGCACAACTGTTCCACAGGAGCGCCTTACATTTGGTTCACGAGGGCGAAATAAGTGCTATTCTTTGGTTTTTTCCACTACTCTGTTATATTCCAAGGAGTTATAATTATAGGTTGTTTATGCATCATCTGTTAACAAACGAGAGGGACCCCAAATCAATACAAGGCAAATAAAGTACAGAGCATAATTATATTGAAACATAAAGACTTAAATAAACGTTATGTGCCTGTCAGTAAACAAATAATAGCCAAGAAGAAATAGCTTTCAATTGTGCAAAGTTGCAATGAAGCAAATAATATACATTAAGATATTATTTGATGAATATTTGAAAAATCCATTGAATCTATACAAATAAAAATTGACTTATTTAGATACGTATACTTAAAAGAGCAACAAATAACGATAAGTTAATGAGCTAATTGGTACGAGATTAGGGATTAGTGATATTTTAATAGATGAGATTGGCCGAGTTTTTTAAAAGATGTACACAGAGCATGACCTTAGAGAAGATAGTGAATGATTCCCCTATCTTCGAAGCCTGTATGTTACACTAGAAAAATGAAGTTGTAGAAAAACATTTTAGGATATCAAAAAATTAATTGCATCTGACAATAACTGTACTTTGCGTGGAAAACATATTCATGCATGCGTCATTTTACACCTGTCGGAAATTTAAAAAATGTAACGTATTTAATGACAGCAAGTATTTAAGATATCATATATGGGTACGACGTTGCCAACCGTATGGTATGACAAATCAGCCCGACACAGATATACAAAGTGCCTGTAACCACGCAGACGCACGTATACACATTTAGTATGCGATAGCAAGGCGTAAGTTCAAAGAAACGACAGCAGCTTTGACTCGACTCGCTTATCATTTATTGCTGTAGTATAGAGATGACATCGAGGGAACAAAAAAAAGGAAAGGCGGGCGATAAGATAAATAATGATTTGATAGGCGAGCTAACGAGGCATGTGCGTGTAAAGTTTTGTTGGGGCGATACGAAAGTAAAAAAAAAAAAAAAAAAATTGTTTCTGCTTGTAAACGCTAGCCAGGCAAG